GTTTTTGAGGGAGGGGTAACTATGGCTACCAATGCTTTTTTAAAGTCTTATCTATTTTTTCTTTGTGTTTGAAAATCTTGTCTGCTTTGATTTTCAGTCTCGTCTCATCCTAGGTTATAGTGCACTTGCACTGAAGTTTGTTTCAGTACATTATTGGGTTGATCCGATAAGAGGGTATATAAACAGTTACGCTAAGACGCGCACTGGAAACAGTCCGTGTATCATCGCTTAAGTGCCCTTGTACTCAAACAGCCGTGTCAAATATATGTCTAGGGGTATGGCGTAAAAGAGATCGTGTTCAGGCCTTCCACTCCATCGGGTGGTTTCTCGCCCTCTAGTACCTTGAAGGTAAAATTCTGAAGCAACGTGAAGAAAATGAATGATTCCATTACAACCTGCCCTTTGCTTAGGCAAACAATGGATCCTCAAATAAATAAATAGATAAATAAATAGATATAGAATTATATAGGCTTGGAAGTAACCGAAGTAATTGTAAGAATTGCCAATGCCCCAAAAATAATGTGAAATCTACAAGACGTTTTTTTTTCTCTGGGCATCGGTAACTTTGTCATTTATCAACAACAATCTTTTAAATGATCGAAAAATGTAAAATTTTATGACGTTCTAGAAAATGTCTCTTATACATTTCATTGAGTATGATAACAATATTAGTATTATAACACCCAACTTTGAGTTGCGTAAAAACACAAACAATTATTATTATTATTATTATTATTATTATTATCCAATACAATAAAAATAATACTTCAATGCTACTATTTTGTCACCAAGAGAAAGAAGGGGTAAAGCTTTCCAGGGGCGGATCCAGACTTATTTTCTGACAGTCTTCCAATTTATCTTTGTTGATCCATGCATCCTCCATTTTTGACCGTCTTCCGACAGAAAAAATTAGATACATGTACCTGTCAATGTAAACTTGCAAATCTGACCGTCTTCTGGAAGACCCAGAAGACGCCCTAAATCCGCCTTTCTGAATCCGCTCAGATAAATAGCCTACATGTCTGTTGTTCGTGTCATAAACACCGTGAGCATGTGGAGACAGACGACTGAACCTTTTTCTTAAATTCACCAGAAATGAGACGATGACCATTTATTCGAGAACTGTCTGACCGTCACCAAGTAAGTGTAAATGTTATATGTATTAGTGTTAACATGACAGTTTCAAAACATCGACCCAGTTTTTCCCCTTACTTACAAGAAGTGACCTTGAGCCGCTGATGGCTGATGACGTGAGCGCAGTATATAGCTCTTGCAATACTAGATAGACCTTACCAGTTTTTTACTTTGGACTTTGGTAGATCTAGTAGATATTTAGTCGGCGATTTTACGTCGTCATCAAGCATTTTCCAGACCATACCAACGAGCCAAAATGGCCAACCTCGTGCAGGGCTTTTTGGCGTATATTTCTACTGTCGGGCTGCCGACTGTTTTGATATTCGTGGTAGTGCTGTTGTTAAGTCTGTGGATGCTGTCGTCGAGGAATCCTCGGGTGAAATGGCCGCCCGGACCTGTCTGTTTCCCCGTGGTGGGATGCCTCCCACAGCTGATGATTATCGGTAGGAGACGACAACCGACAGATCTTTTTCCATGGTATGATAAATACGGAGATATCATGCACGTCAGAATTGGTGAACAACACATGATAATGCTGGGGACTTATGAGCTGATCCAGGAGGCTTTTGTGAAGAATGCAGCCACAGTCAGCGCTAGACCTACTTGGATATATCTTCTTAAACATGTAGTTGGAAAGGATGGTAAGTAAGTGAAATAGTTGGGTTATCGCATGTTACGTTTTTTTATGTCGTATGAATTGCTGCAAAATTATTATTATTATTATTATCATTATTATTATTATTATTATTTCCTCCGACAAGGCTGTTATGTTTTTTTTGTTTGCGTTATTTCGTGGGATTTGTTTGTTTTTATAGCATTACGCAAACACTTATGGACGCATTTTGATGGGATTTTGAAGATGGTTCACAAATTTCACTTTATTTTTATTTAACTGATCATAGTGTCCAGAATTAAACCGTTTCGACTCTATGGCTTCTGTGATATCCCCGTGGTGCTCAGATTTGCGGTGATGTTAATCTGTTCTTCGTAATCTGAGAGATTTTATGCCAAGATTGCCATGGTCATATAACAGAGTAAAAGATCAATATTTTGGTCTGACATCAAGATATGTCCAATATTCTAGACATCCTTCTTATTGTCACCACTCCTAATCACCTGCGCAGTAACAATCATTATCATGTAAGTCAACTTAATATTCAAGGAATCTAGCTACTCGAGACAATCGGCGTGCTGAATATTAGTTTTTAAAATTGTTTTTAATATATTTATTAAAGTCCGTCATAAAATTATACTGATTAAAACTTATGTAACGCCAGTACATTAAGCAAGCACGATAAATAAAATTTAATTAAGTAATCACCTAAAGGTGCGGCATATTGAAATACAAATACTTATCAGTCGTTACATTAAGCAGACGGAACATTTTTTTCCTGAAAATTTCATAGAATAGAATCTTGATACGAAAGAGAAGCAGCCGAGACTTGTCTAGGTTTCATCTGGTAACAGGGTAGACTTATCTCCACCAAGTGTCAAAAGCCGCACATATAATACTTGTAGTATTTACATAACCTAAGATTCAATTTATCGATCCAGGTTTTGACCTACATTTATACGGGAACTGAGACATTAGGAACCATCCCCAGACCTTATCGTTCTAACTGTGGATCGATCTATCTCCGAGGGGATTCTCACTAAATTGCAATCAACTTAAGCCGCTTAGATGTCTGTCACGCCTACTGACGCTGCTAAGGGGTAAATAATTATCGTTTGGCCGCTTCAGTAGGCGTGGCAGACATCTAAGCCGCTTAACCTGAAAGCAATTTAGCGAGAAACCCCTCGGAGATGGATCGATCCTGTTAGATGTAGGTATGGGAACCCAGTCTTAGACCCCGTGGGCTTGGGTGGAATGCGAACGTGCATGTACTCATAACTGTATTGAAGGCTTAGGAAAACTTCATTTCTGTTATTCTGAACAACAAAGTCGTTCTTCTCATAGAATGCATACTTGTGGATTATTCGAATTAAAACCGGTTTTCTAAAATGATGTTGGATTAAGGGACGCCCCAAATCGTAGCACAACGTGGTGGAACAACGGGCATTTTACACACTATATCAAACGATAGAGCCCCTATTCACGTTCCTGTTCAAATTTAATCCCATATAGTACATAAAAACATCAATAATCTGTCTTGCTTAGTTGTCCCAATCTTAGACCCCATTCCCAGAGATAAGATCGATCCAACTAGATCGACCTAACTCCCTGGGGGTTCACGCTAAATAGCTGTCAGCAGAGCGGGCACGGACTTTAATTACCTCCTTACAGCTTGTAGTAGGCGGGACGGACATTTAAGCCGGATTATCTGACAGTAAACTAGTGAGACTCCCCACGGGGATAGATCGATCTAAAGCTATGGGAATGCGCCCTTAGCTTCTAAAGTTCTTTCATTCAACCCCAAGAAAGAGTTACTGGAGCAGAACCAGACAAAACCAAGTAACTTTAGAAATTGAACAGGTTTAAAATTTCTGCGAGTTATATTAATTTTTCTTTATCTTTGTGCCTCCCTCACCGACCCTAGTATAATCCAGCAGTATCCTAGGTTTTGCCCTTCCTCACATAATCTACTTTTCGTCCTCAAACTTTTATAGTGAAGTTCGTGACCCGTTGATGTAGTATCTTTGAAGTGGGGGTCCTATGTAGGCTATGCACACAGCTTGGATTGGACAGGAAGATCACAACTGACGCATTTTCTCGCCACTTCGATTTCCAGACATGACATCTCAGTGGCGGATTTGGGTGTCAGGGGGGTCCTGCCCCCCCCCCCCCCCTTTGATTTCTGAAAGAAAAATCACACCAATGGTCCCGTTTTGAAATTATTTCTATTTTTACTACTATGTATTAGGGCCTACATCCCGAATGTCGACAGAATAAAATACGCTGAAGTAATCCGACTGCATGATCTGATAGTGCTTGGCGCTCTTAACTAAACAAACAAATCTGAGGGGTGACAGGTTGTAATACCTATCAGACAGCTAATTTCCTTTAAGTTTAACTATTGAGGGGGGGGGGGCGGAGGTCGGCTTCGCATCCGCGGCCTGTCATTCCTGATAACCGGACCCCCTTCAAATAATCCCTTCAAATAATCCTGGATCTGCCCCTGCATCTGACACGTTTTCTTATTATCTATGTTATCGTTAAGAACCCGAGGACTTCATTATGGTTGTTTGGTTCAGAGCTGGGTGTAGACGGGATGGAACAACCAGTAGTAAAAACATTCCGAATTCTGTCTTTGAACTATTCAAAAAGACGGCAGGTGACGCACGTGTGTTGTTTGGAATGGGCGAAAAAAGATGCCAGATGACAACGTCATTTTTCCCTTTTTAATGTTTTAATGTGTGAAATGCACGAAGGCACAGAAATGAAAGATTGTCTTCACCCAAAACATAACAACATCATCATCATCAACAACAACAATAATAAAAAATGAATAAAGAAACGAACAACGAAAAAGGAGGACAGGTTGGGCATTAAAGAAATGCTGTAATACTAGTTATCAGATGAAAATTTGCAGCTCTTAAGTAACGATGACATTATCCAGTGTAAAACAGAATTTGAAAAAAAAAGTATATTTAAAGGTTGTCCAAGTACGTGTACAATGTACGTGCATTTTCGATCTTTTTAGCGAACATATACTCAACTTGAGGAAATGTAAATTGCAGGGGCTGGAGTTCTATTAAAATCCGGGCACGCATGGAAAGAGCTGAGGAGATTCACGCTCTCGTCTCTTCGAGATCTCGGCCTCGGGAGAAAAAGTCTACAAGAGAGAATTCAGGATGAGGCAAGATACTTGGTGCAAAATATTGAAGACGAAAATGGAAAGCCTTTCTCTCCAAGGTTCAAAATCTCAAAAGCTGTCAGCAACATTATTTCTATCGTTGTATTTGGAACAAGGTAATCAAAGAGCACTTTCACCACTACATTTTTGTACATGTTATAAAATAATTGATGAGAAAAGAGGGGATGTTATTACATACTGAAATATGCCGCTACATGTACCAGTATAATAATATCTATTTTAAGTGTCATAATATTTATTTATTTATTTAAAGTTTTAAATCTTCAGAAGTTCTGTGGACTATGCAATGTTATAAGATTACGATTTTAAGTTTTAAATCAAGATAAAAATTATAAAACCACAATTATGAAATTAAATTAAAGGGCGCATTTAAGGTATATAAATAGTTTTATATTCATTAGAGCTTTAAAACCTTAGAATTTAAGTCAGCCAGGTTTTTATTTTAAAATCAAATGATCAGGGAACGTAAGCGAATAAAGGGATAATGAAATGAATGTAGTTCTCAAAGAGAAAATACATATAAACATGAATGTGCACAAATTTAAAATTAATTTATAAAAAGAATACATATAAATGCCGAAATCGGCAGTCAATTTTGATCTTTCAACGGATCGGCCATATATTGATGACCTGGCGTTCTAGTCGAGATGCTTGCTGCATTACACTACCTCCAATTCTGAAACTGAGATTCACAGCTAACTAAAATTGAATTCCAGCGTTTTTATGCTTATTTTCTTTTCTCAAGTGGATTAACAAAAGATGGTAAAATAATCTAACAATTACTTGATACATGTGATATTTAACAATGTACTCAACAAATTTATTGATTTTGCATTTAGCCGCTGTAAGCCAGCATACACATGAAATCAAATTTTTCCAAAGACAATACACGAATTTATAATCCACCGAACCATTTTGCATTATATTTAAAAAATGTAAAATATCATTAAAGTTTTTTTTCCTTTTCAATGATTTTAGATATGAATACAATGACACCCCAGAAATGCTTCCAGTTTTGGAGGAATTCATGCAACTTGGGGAAGGGGCACTTTCCCTTACTGACTTGGCACGGTTCTTTCTACCGGTAAACATTTTGCTTTAATTAATATTATTCTACAAATAATTTATTATTTCACCTGCATATATTTGTTTATATTTTAATCATTTCTCGTGTTACATATTGTCTTTAAAGGCTTTTGGTTTATCAATTTATTTTATTTATTTACTTCATAAGCGTACTTTTAAATAGAATTTTCTAACTTAAGGTTTTGTGCCCTATAAATATGGATGCTCTGTATTTCAGCTGAAGAAGATATTCGCTCTCATTGACAAGTTCTATTCTTTGGCACGACAAGAAGTTGAACGACACCGCCAGTCTTTTGATCCAACTGACATCCGGGACTTTATTGACCTCTTCATAAAGGTCACCCAAGAGGGACAAGATCCCGAGATTTACACAGGTGTGCCCCAGACGATTTTTTATAATACAACGCTGGTTCTACAACTTATACCCCCATGTTCTAATCGATGATTGCCAATCACCTTAGACTTGTTAACAACGACGTGTATTCGACTACACACATTCAATCAGACACGCACGCCAGCGAATTTGCTTTTATTAAGTCATTGTTAAGCGAATAGAGGTTAATGTACTTTATCCTAAAAAGAGATATAAAGAACTTGCTTTTAATCTCCTAGTTTTAAATTGATGTATTTTTCAGAATGGAACGTATTCCGCATCATTATTGATCTTTATTTGGCCGGGACCGACACAACTTCTAACACTTTGAGATGGTCCCTCATCCATATGGTAAATCAGCCAGACGTTCAGAAGAGGGTGCAACAGGAAATTGATCAGGTAATGAGAGAGAGAGAGAGAGAGAGAGAGACGGGGAGAGGGGGGCAGTGACCGGCTTGTGTGCTCAACGTGTGCAATTCGAACACGTGCACGTCTGTGTTTCAAATAGTATTTATAATATAAATGTAGTGTGCTAACTAAAAACTTGTGGGTTTTATCAAAATAACATTCATGCTACGATAAATGTGCTCAATTTAGTCTTTTTAATTAATATTTTGATAAATGTTTCTTTATTAAGGTCATAGGTCAAGGTCGTGTTGCCAAGATGGAGGACAAGGCCAGGATGCCATTCACTGAGGCAACCATCTTGGAAGTCTTTCGTATGTCAACTGTCGGTTAGTAATTTATTTGCATTTATTTCATATTTCCAATTTAGATGTTCACATTTTCAATGAGTCTACCTCGAGATAGAATAACTCTGTAGAGACCCGGTTTATACATCGTAATTTCGATAACGGTTTTAACTTTAGGGTAGATTATGCTATTGACATATGAGGCAATTGCAGAGACTCCCAGGAAATTTTCTTTTATAAGAGAATAAAATACGCATTTTAAACCTTTAAAAGTTAAAATAATCTTTTTTATCCCTCTCATTAGTCACCCTGGGAGTTCCACATGCCACCAGTGAAACAACCAAATTGGGCGGATACACCATTCCCAAGGGCACCATAATACTGGGAGATTTGTACCGGGTTCTCCACGATAAGAGTAACTTCGAGGATCCTTACAAGTTCAAACCAGAAAGATGGCTGGATGGTGACGGTAAAGTGACCAAGTCCGACAAACTGATACCGTTTTCCATTGGTAGGTTGTTTTATGTAAGACTAGGGTGCTTTCTCAGAGATTTAGATCGATCTAAAGATTAAGTTTTAGATCGACCTAACTCCCTGGGGGTTCAGGCTAAATTGCAGTCAGCCGAGCGGGCACCATAGTTAATTACCCCTTTACAGCTTTTAGTAGGCGGGACAGACGCTTAAGCCGGCCAATCTGACAGTAATCTAGTGAGACTCCCCACAGGGATAGATCGATCTAAAAATCTATGGAAATGGGGTGTAGGTTTCCATACCTAGATCGATGTAACAGGATCGATCCATCTCCGAGGGGTTTCTCGCTAAATTGCTTTCAGCTTTAGCGACTTAAAAATGAAATATCCCTTAGCAGCTTCAGTAGGCGTGACAGACATTTAAGCCGCATAAGTTGATTGCAATTTAGCGAGAATCCCCCCGGAGATAGATTGATCCACAGTTTGTACGATAGGGTATGGGAATGGGCCCTTAGAATTAGCCGTCGGTACCCGTCAGTAAACAAACACAAGTACACTAGAATTGAAGGTGAAATGACATTTTTGATCAAAAGTGTTTATTGAATTTAAATTCAGTTCAGTTCTTGGACACCATACTCCACATGCTTTTTAGCGTCAAAAGTACTGATATCTAACTTCCTTTTCAGCATCATTTTTTATTTCATTTATTTATAATTTTCTACTAATGTATTTATCCCATTATTGTCTATTTCATATCAGGACCTCGTCTTTGCTTGGGCAAGGGGCTGGCTGAAATGGAATCTTTCATCTTCTTCACCACGTTGCTTCAGAATTTTACCTTCAAGGTACCAGAGGGCGAGAAACCTCCGGATGGAGTAAAAGGTTTCAACGCAGCCACCTTTTCACCATACGCCTATAACGTGTGCGCCGTCAGACGCTAAAATGAAGGCACATAGACCCAAACGACAAAACGACAAAGCTTTCAAGGAACTTCAGTTTAGCCTTAACGTACGGTCTCGTAACCCAAATATTTAACGTATTGTTCCGTGGTTCAAGTATCAAGTGTCCAGCGGTCAGTTGATGATCCTATATGTCGGACTTGTGGCCAAAGGATCAGTTTATCATACAGCTTGGGTTTATCCGAAATCTCACATAATCTCGAGTAAGAAAGTGGGAGATTCAACGGTGAAGTGGCATGTGAAGTGGTAACGCGAGCGGGTGGCGGTGAGGCTCAGAGTAAATAACTAATCGGTTCTCTGGTCCCCTTTTCGTGGATAACGGTAATTTGGAAGCAAATGAACGGCAGGGTGTCACCTCTTGTCGTGCGTTTTACTCTGAAGCTCCCTGGGGAGCTGAAACAATTTAGTGTAAAATTTGGATTCTTGTTGAGTGTCTTGTACATACGCAAAATAAGTGGCTGTTGGTGCTTCAGTTGTAGCTGCAGCTGGCGCTGAAGAGGGTGTTTCACGTAACTCAATGTAACTCATCGTTGCACTTGGACTGGAAAAGCAAAGATGTCATTGACAGCTTGTACTTGATTTGCACCTTGTTGCACCAGCCACACAATCCTCATTATTGTCAGAGTATCTTCATTAGTCCAGAAAACAAAATTATTTCTCCCTCAGTTATCATCTAGAGCCCGAGGATGTTTCTTTTACGTCCATTGATAATAATGTAAAGGGTCATATCCCTATGTATACTAATACGTAATTGAGGTGAATAATCATTTTAAACATATAATTGATGTGACCCACAAACAGTTTTGATCATTTTAATTTGCTTTCACTTGGAGGGAAAACCCCGCTACCCAGTATTTCACTTTTGCCCCCTTACTTTCCAAAATTTATGGATCCACGAGTGCACGAGTTGTATCAATATCAGCAGATTGCGAAATTGAGAAACACTGTGCTGTCAGGTCCGTAGCCAGGGTATGGGTGTGAGTGTGTGTGTGTGTGTGTGTGCGTGTGAGGGGGGCTACGGGCCTGACTGTACATGTGTATCATACAGCATTGACAACAATCGCTAATTTTACATGTACTTACAGTGTAGTATGTGTTTACTTAAAGGCCAGCAGTGTTGCTATTTCTTATATTTATAAAGGTTCAAGGCCTTTAAATATGAAGCCTTTAAGAATAAAAACAAACGAAAAACATATTTTTTAAACTTTAAAGTTTTAAATGAATCATTTATTTATTATTTTTATTTATTTTCATTGTTTGGTGATTTCGATTAAGAAGTTTCGACGATAAGGCATTAATATTAATGAAAGTTAAAAACAAAAAACGATCGAAATAAGACAAAACCAAATTCGTTTCCTTTATATTGATTCCAGTGAAACTGTCCCCGTTTATTGTTGCCGTGAAGAAAAATATTTTATCCTTTTCCACCCCCTCCACCTGCTGCTTGTGAAAATCCTGCATCCACGAGTGCTTTCTAGTGTTCATAACACCACATTGAAAAGTGTCATCGACAGTGGAATCGGTGTCACAGGTTCTAGTGTCAACTTTGGCACATCTCAGCTGTCTACGCGCAAACTTGTCATCGACTTTCTAGCCCAAAGGCAGCTAATCGAAACGCAAACATCGCTTGTAATTGATATCTGGGACCGTTTCATATTAGGCAGAATGTGTGTGCGAAGCCAGGAAAGTTCAACGTACATATATCTTAAGACTTTCAATATTTACCGTCATGCCGGTGTATAAATCATGTGTATAAATCATAATTACTGTCATCCCCTTGTCATACATTTCGGAACAGATAGCTCACAATTTATTTATTTATTTAGTTATCTTTTATTGTGTTATAATTATTTTATCTTGGGAGAGGGGCTGAATTACCCAGAGACATTTTGGAGTATTATCAACAACTAAATAACGAAAAGAAGGAGAGCAAAGAAACATCGAAACATCGCTAGGTTCTAGATACTAGACATCTTGCCTGGAAAACGCCCTTTATGTGCTTCTTGCCTATCGTTCCAAATACTTTGACGTCTATCAGTCTTGGCACTATAACTACGGCTTCTTGTCCCAGCTCACCTTATGTACCAAGGGCTAAATTACAGATCCCAAGTAGAATATGTGTATTATTAACTTCGAATGCATCACGTCCAGATTTCATATAGTGGTGGATGCAACCAAGCGGTTATTCCCTAACATTTAGTTTAATAGTGGGTTTTTGTGAAAACCATTTTGAATGTGGCTGTAGAGCCGCATTTCGCAACCAATTGCATTGTGCAACCACATAAGAACGTGAAAACGCATTGTGCAACTATTTCTCTTTACCAAGTCACAAATAAAGCTTTACAGCGGTCAAACACTTTTTCTATTCCCAGTATATATATATATATATATATATATATATATATATATATATATATATATATATATATATATACACAAAATGTTCCAATCACATTACATGTATATCAAAATCACAATCATTGTCTCAACAGCATCGCCTGGGCTTCGTAACTCGAAGAGATTCGCAAATTGCGACCGAGCGCAAGCGTCTCCATTCCATAACTCGGTGTATACTCGCCCCAAATAATAGTCTCGGAATGAAAGGTGATATAGCTATCGCAATTCGCGATACTTTCGAATCCTGTTCTCAAGATGCAAACACAGTCTGTGAGCAACTGACAGCAGTCGTTGGGAGGAATGCCCCCCTCCCCCTCCTCACCCCCCCCCCATTAAAAAAAAAAATGACAGCGTTACTTCTACAGTGGGTTTTTTTTGTGAAGACCGTTTCAATTGCGGCTGTAGAGTCGCATTTCGCAAGCCAACGCATATTGCAACCACAGAAATACGTGAAAGCACATTTTGCAACCAGTTTTTTTACCTAGTCACAAATGAATCTCTACAGCGGCCAAACACTTGTCAGTGCTTTTCTATTCCCAGTGTAACACGTTACATAGATATCACAATCACAATGAGTGTCTCAACCACATCGTGTCAGAGTTCAACCTGTTCTCTTGCCAAAAATGCAATCCGCGAGCAACTGTCATCAGTTGTTGGAGGGAATGCAATAAAAAAATAAATAAAAAAAATAAAAATGAATAAAAAAATGAAAAAATAAGAAAAAAACGTCAGAAATATGAAAAGAGTTTTTGTCAAGAGAAAATGTGTGAATAAACCTTTTTATTTCAAATCAATAATTTTTAGGAAAATTGCGCGCCCTACCTCCTTTTGTCGTTTGGGACCAAATGTATCTTCATTTACGCGTCCAACGGAGAACGTGAGCGATGTCCATACATCCAAGATCTGCCTGACCTCCACCAAGTAAAGTGTACTGTAAATGCTATATGTATTAATTAGTGTTTACATGACCGTTTCTATACATCGACCCAGTTTTTGACCCAACTTACAAGAAGTGACCCTGAGCCGCTAGTGACAAATGACGTGAGGGCATTATATATAGCTCGTGCAATACTAGATAGATCTTTCTGATTTTTTACTCTGGACTTTGAAAGATCTGGTAGATATTTAGTCGGCGTTTTACGTCGTCCTCAAGCACTTCCCAGACGATACCAGCAAGCCAACATGGCCAACCTCGTGCAGGGCTTTTTCGCATATATTTCTATTGTCGGTCCGCCGACTGTTTTGATATTCGTGGTAGTGTTGTTGTTAAGTCTGTGGATGCTGTCGTCGAGGAATCCTCGGGTGAACTGGCCGCCCGGACCTGTCTGTTTCCCCGTGGTGGGATGTCTCCCACAGCTGATGATCATCGGTAGGAGACGGCAACCGACAGATCTTTTTCCATGGTATGAAAAATACGGAGATATCATGCACGTCAGAATTGGTGAACAACACATGATAATGTTGGGGTCTCATGAGCTGATCCAAGAGGCGTTCGTGAAGAATGCGGCCACAGTCAGTGCTAGACCTACGTGGACATATCTTCTTAAACATATAGTCGGAAAGGACGGTAAGTAAGTGGAATCTAGCAGGGTAATCGCGTTTTACGTTTTTATATGTCGTATGGATTCTTGCAAAATCATTATTATTATCATTTCCTCCGAAAAGGCTGTTAGGTTTTTGTTAGCGTTATTAAGTAAGATTTGTTTTTTTTTAACAGAAAATTCCCTAGAGTAGGATCGTGATATACATGTAGAAGGGAAGCAGTCGAGACTTGCCTTGATTTTATCTGGTGACAGGGTAGTCTAACCCTCACCAAGAGACAAAAATCGTACATAAAGTAGTGTTTACATAACCTCTGTTTCAGTTCATAGACCCAGTTTTTGACCGATACGGATAATGAGATATTAGACCCAGTTTTTGACCGATACGAGGACTGAGATATTAGACCCAGTTTTTGACCTATACCGGAAATGAAACAATAGACGTCCTTTGCTTGGGTGGAATGCGAACGTCCATGCATTAACTGTACTGAAGGCTTGGGAAAACTTCTGTTATTCCAAGCAACAAAGTCGTTCTCCTCACAGAATGTAAATTTGCGGCTTATTTGAATTTAAACCGTCAAATCTTGATAGTGTAAAGTTGAACAGGTTTAAAAATTTAGCGAGTTAATTTTTATCAATGTCCCCCCCCCCCCCCCACCGCAGCAGAATCCAGCAATGTGTTAGTAAAAACCCTTTTTCACATAATCTACTGTTTGTCCTCAAACTTTTATTGCGAAGCTCGTGCTCTGTCCGTTGACATACATGTAGTATCTTTGAAATAGAAACCCTATGTTGGCTATGCACACAGCTTGGATTGGACAGGAAGATCACAACTGACGCATTTTCTCGCCACTTCGATTTCCAGACATGACATCTCAGTGGCGGATTTTGGGGTGGTGTCCGGGGGATCCTGATCCCCCTTTGATTTCTGAAAAAAATAGCACCAATATTCCAATCTTCAAATTATTTTTATTTCTACTACTTTGTATTCCATCCCGAATGTCGAAAGAGTAAAATACGATGTAGTAAGCCGACTGCATGATCTGATAGTGCTTGGTGCCCTCAACTGGGGGGGGGGGGGGGGG